ACACGGCAACCCTCTGCGCAGTCTCGAGCAGGCCATATTCTCCAATGCCAAGCGGCAGAACATACCAGCGTTGGCCAGTTGAGGGGCAGACGCATGGCAGTCCGCCACGTTGCTTTTTCCTGTCAGAGCGATTTGCACCTCGTACACCTTGCCTCAGCATCTGACTCTTCCAACTTGGGCGGCTTCACAACCAAACGCAACCAGGTCTCGCACATCAGGGTTGGAAAAAGTCGGGCTGAAGCTCCCAACCGGCTGTGGGTGACACCGCACCAGTGATTCAGCGTTAGCGGAAATTCAAATTACCCCACAACCGTCTCCATGATCGCAAAGATTTTATGACAATAATTAATTGTTGGTCTCTTATCGCGTTCTCTGCATACCAATGCTGATGACCAAAGCCGGAACACCAAAGCTTGATTTTCGGAGATGTGCAAAATCATGATAAAGATAAAGACTGTTGGAAGAACGACCATTCTGCTGATAAAGGCAATCATAACCATCATAATAATGATGATAAGGGTAAAAACATTATTTTGGATAGGCGGAACACTTTGATGTTCGAAATGTGAAGCCACCCTTTCCTGCGCTTGCCTGGCCTTGCTGCTTTTTGCTTTTGCTGATGCTAGTCTTGCATAGCTCTGAACAACAGTCCTGCAGCGACTGATCTTGATGCTTCGGCGCACTTTCTTTGGCTTGGCCACGTGCAGACGTACAAAACTCACTTCTTGTGAATGTTGGAGCACGCAAAGTTGCACACGTACAGTTCGGCAATTCGGCAAGTTCGTTGGTGTTTTCTGTTTTGAAGGCCTCTGGCCTTTTCCATACAGCGGCGTATAATATTTTTTGGGCATTTGGCCGTGAAAAGCAAGCGTGGTGCAGGTTGTTGCGTTTTTTTTTTTTTTTTTTTTTTTTTTTTTTTTTTTTTTTTTTTTTTTTTTTTTTTTTTTTTTAAGTTTTTTCGCCTGGTTGAGGTCTAGACGTGCTCGGTTTTCGGTTGTTTCGCTGGTTTTCTTTGTTGTTGTTTTTGTTGTTCTTGTTGTTTTGCTTTTGTGTTTTTTCCTGTTTTGGTTTGGGTTTCTTCTTGTCTTCTTGACTTGTTTCTCAGTGCTGAGTCAGAATCGCGATTGGATCAAGGAAAAACCTGAAAAGTCACGAACCCGAATGCGGGCACGAAAGCGAATTCTTGTCACATCTCGCGTCGCGTCTCTAGTCACGTTTTTTACTCACGTGGACACTTTGGGTAGCAACTCTGGCCACGTCTCTTGTCATGACTTTCGTTTATCCTTTTAGCACATCTTGCTGCGTCACGACTCTGTCACGTCTCCCATCACGTCTTCTTGGCGACCCCCGTCATGTCTCTTGTCATGTGAGTCGTCGCCCCTCAAGTCGCGCTGGTCTTTTATCACTTGACTCCGTCGCGTTTCCCGGTCTTTCTTGGCGACTCGTCACACGTCTCTTGTCACGCATGAGTCATCGGCCCTCGCGCCACGTCTCTTGTCACATCTCTCGTCACGTGTCTGGTCCAATCTCGTCACGTCTCTCCTCGCCAGGTGAAGTATCTGGCTATTCCTCTTTTTGTGTATAGTCACGTCTCTGGTGCGTCTCATGGTGCTTCAGGTTTCTCGCAACAGCGTCTCTTGTCACGTCTCTTTTTTTTCCTTGTCCTTGTCGCGTCTCACGTAACAACGTTTCTTGTCACATCTCTCGCCACGTAGCTAGACGTCCCTTGGCAGGTCTCTGAATAGCAACTGGCCACATCTCGCATCTTTCATCACGTGTCTCAAGGCGCCTCTCGTCAACTACGTAGCGTCCCCCATCGCGTCTTTCTTGGAGACGTCTCCTTCCTGTCACGTGTCGCAACCCTCGCCACGTCTCTGCTCACGCGTCTCTTGTCATATTTGCCGTCCCGTCTCTGGCAACCTCTCGCATCACAATCCTGGTCACGTCTCTTGTCGCATCTCTCGTCACGTCTCTGGTCACGTCTTTGGTCACGTCCTTTGTCACGTCTGTCGTAGCAACTCCGGCCACGTCTCTTGTCGTGACTTTCATCTTATCTTTCATCATGTGTCTCAGCACGCCTCTCGTCACGACGACGTAGCGTCTCCCGTCACGTCTTTCTTGGAGATCCTGTCGCGCGCGTCGTCGCCCCTCGCGTCACGTCTCTGCCTCGCCACGTCTCTTCTCACACGTCTCTTGTCATATTTGCCGTCCCGTCTCTGGCAACCTCTCGCACCACGATCCTCGTCACGTCTCTTGTGCTCAAAATGCGCACCGCGCCACAGCGACAGCGATTTGACCCGCCCAAGGTGAGGGTTCGCTTCGCCTTCTCAAAATGTGCACCGTGCCACAGCGAGAGCGATTCGACCCACCCAAAGTGCGCAGAGGGTTCGCTTTGCGTTCTCAAGATGTGCACCGCGCCACAGCGAGAGCGATCTCGCGGAGTCAAAGCGACGTGCCTGCCACGAAATCTACACTCAGGCTCCAAAGTACTGCGCCTGCAACGAAATCCGCACGAAAAACTCCAAAGTACCGCGCCTGCCACGAAACTCAACCAAAACGCTCGAAAGTGCTGCGCCTGTCACGAAAAAGCAAGCTTGCCACAAACTCCAAATCATCCAAACTGCTGGCCCTGCCACGAAATCCACCTTTGCCACGTTTACGACACGCATCGAAAACTAGCACGGGACTGTGGCGCCAGAATGATTTCGACCAATTTTGACATGTTGCAGGCTTGCCAAAACGAGCCGATTGTACGACAGGGCCAACGAAAATGATGCTCTGGCAAACACTTGCACGCGCCTGCCAAGCAGGACACCTCAAAGCGACCACCCCTGGATCGCAAATCCCACTGGCACGGCAACGAGAACACACAGCCTTCCAAAACACTGCGCCTGCGCAGCGAAACGACGTCGAGCATGCCAAAAGCTACGATTCCCGCACAGGGGCACGCAAAATGACGCGCTTCAAGTCATCCAAATGGCACGTTTTTCGCTTTCCCCATTGGAGCTGCGACCGTGACACTCGCACACATACGAACGCTTGCGAACGCTTGCGAACGCTTGCGGGCGCTTGCGAACGTAAAATCAACGACTTTTGGTCACGTCCTAACCCCCAGACCTTCGACCTCTAAACGGGAACCCTTCTGCTACGCATTCGGGAAAAGAGGCACCCTGAATTTCGACGTCCTTTCTAAGAAGTACTGCAACAGGGTGTCTCAAGGGCTAGACACGCTATCAAGGAATCAAGGCAACTACCACGTCGGCAATAGATGGGTGTGCACATCAAAATGTTTAGCATCCTATTGCGCATGGCATCGTAGTATGAACTTGGTGAATGTTTGTGTAGCAGGGACGCAGCTTTTGCCAACACGTTTATTCCAGAGTTGTATTCCACTCAAGCCCTTCCTTCCTCCCTCCGCGTGCTTCCCAACTTCAACCTTTTTCCTCCTGGGCGGCTGCTCTCGATGAGCACGTCCATGCTGTGGTTGCAGGCTCTTTTATGCTCGCCGGACCCTTCCTAGCTGTGGATTTGAACAATGCTCAGCTGGTGCTTGAGTTTTCCGCAAAGACACGGTAGACCAGTTTGGGTCGCGCGGATGCAGTGTTTGCACCAACTTGCGAGTCGCAGGAACGCAGTTGCAGCTCCGCAAGTGGTCGCGCTGTTTTAGGCTTGTTGGAGGGTCTCCTATGTGCTGGGGGAGACACGTTGTTCTCTGAGACATCTATGTGTACATTTTTTTTGCATACACCTGATTGAATACATATGCTGTTGCAGCATTGCATACCTACTTTGCAGGCGCACGTGCATGCTCGCAAAATCGGTGAGCGTGTTCGCTGTTGCATTCGCGTTTGGGTTCGCGTCAACATTTGCATTTGCGTTTGGGTTTGCGTCGCGTACGCGCCAGACTAGCAGTAGGAGCAAAAGGAAAAAGTGGGGAAACAAAGGTGTGGAAAACCACAGTTTGGCGAGACACATGCAATCATGGCTCCAAGGGAAAGCTGAGGAACCATTCGACACAGTTTTGAGTTCATTCATTGAACTACATGTCCAGTGTTTCTATTCGGACTACGAGGCCAGCCTCCATACTTGCTTCCATGAAGTCACAATATGCTCTGACTTTGGAACTTAGAAAAAACCACAAGATGAAGTGCTTTAATGTGCAGCACCCGAAAGCCATTTTGGCATGGACACAGGAAAATCAACAAGCTGTGAAATCACACGGCTCGGTGCTGTTTTGCTTGGCCAGCGGCGCACGGCTGGCACCAGGTAACAAAACACAACAGGAACCGGTGCGCCGACGCCCTTCGCATCATAGCAAAGGAACAACTCGCATCGCAATCTACCTGCTGTGGATGACGAAGTTCGCCAACCACAGAAGGATGGCAGTCATTCTCACATCAATTAATTTGAGGCTGTTCGCCGTGATTTAGAACCCGGCCAATCATTTGGGCATGCTTTGCACACGTTCTGCAACACAATGCAATCTGCTCGGATTGTGCTTGTTATCGGGACCCTTGTCATGCTGCTGCGTTGCAGTCCCATTTGTGTCTGCATGTTTGTTTGGTTACCTGATTGAAGCAATCAGCATCCATTCATTGGTGGGGATTGCAAAAACAATCATACAGCAGTGAAGCTATTCATGCATTCAGTGTTTTCGCGTTTGGTGGCAGTTGGCTGGCTATCAGCAAAGTGAGGTTGCTTGGCACTGTTTTCACTGACAAATACCAGTGACTATCATGGGCTCTTTGATGGGGTTCAATTTGTTTGTCTTCTACAATGTGGCTTTTGTTTGGAAATTCAACACATGAGTCGCAAACAACCATGGTTGATACCCAGACCAGGAGCAACGCCACCTATTCCGAAACTTGAGGCATATGCGGCATAACTCATCGTGATGTCTACAAAGTGGAATGCCCAACCAGAAAGAGTCAGCGCATGGGAGCTGCTTAGTTTCCGGCCTTCGCGATTCAGATTTGGCCTTCGCCATTCACTGAGCGGACATGGAGGCGCTGGATGAATTGCATTGTAGCTGCCGAGTCGTGGAATTTTGTGACCCGCTCATTGCCACCCATCGCTGTCCCAGAAATCCCCACGGCTGACCCACGATTTGCAGGCGATGAGCTACGAGCGTGCCTTGGCAGAGCAGGGTGTAGGCAGTTTGGCTTTGCCATGTCTGGTGGGACGGCAACCAATGGCTTCCAGGCTTGGCCCAGAGGCAGTGCGAGCTGGGCGAGGATGGGACGTGCAAAGCCGAGCGGCATGACCAGTGGTTGATCATTGCTCATCCCAGGAAGCCTGTTTTCACGTTTGCAATAATTCTGCCTGAAGAGCAATGTTTTGCTCTAGAAGAGGGGCTTGTGACTATCCCATTCCGAATGCAGGAGCTTGCAGCACTTCGGGCATGCCTTCAGGCCAGCCCGAAATGAAGCTGTGAGGCGGCTCTAACCGATCTTTTTTGTTGATACCCGAACCCAATCTAGACTCGCAACAAGGGAGCTTGACTGATTGTGTGTAGGTTGGGGACAAGCGAGGTCTGGAACACATGGAGACAATACGTTGGAAGTGATGGTTTCATACTTGACTCAATTTACCATGGTTCTGCTTCTCAAACTAGTTGCTCCTTTTAGCAACTGGATTGGGCTTGTATACACATGGCTTCGCATCCCGCCATGCCCTTGGAGCACGAAATTCGCAGAGATTCATGTCCCAGCAAATCCGTTTGGAGTGTGGGCTTTGGGATGAGCCGAGATGCTTAATTAGCAAGCTGAGGAAAATGTTGGATCCAGTGGCTGGATTCACTGGCGTCTGAGTCGGCTCTGCCAGGCTTCATTAGGGTCCCTTCCGGAGAGTGGCTGAATTGTTAACATGTTGTACTTGTTAGCCAAACAAAATGGGTGAAACGACAAGAGCATACAAGACGAATCCAACCGGAGCCAAAGGAGCAAGTGCTTCCTGCAGCTAGCATAGGTAGGCGACAGATGAGGTCCTGTAGGTTTTATGTCCCATAGGTTCTATTTCCAAGAGATTCCCCCTGCCGGCATCTGGTTCTCTTCAACTTCCCTTCTGTCTTCATTGAATGCGTGTGTCTTTGGGATGAGGCCTCTTGGAAAAGAGACACGTCTCTCACATCGGTCGGGACTCTTGAGGCCTGCGGGGTGCTGCGGCCGCAGCAGTTCCTGGCGAAGCTGCACCGGCTGCGCTTCGAGGAGCTGCTGGCCCGGGCCCCGCGCCTCGGATGCGGAGGAAAACGTCGGAGGCCTCGGAGGCTTCGAATGGGCAAGTTGCCCGATGGCCCAACGGATGGATTCGGATCCGGAGGCGTCGGTGTGGGCGCTTTGGCGCTTTGGCGCTTTGGCGCTTTCTCGCCTCGTTTTTCTTTTTTTTTGCGCGAGGGTGGGACCGTGGGGCGCTACTTGGGACGGGTGGTTGACTTGGGACTGGTTCGGAGCCAGCGTGTGTAGTTCTTGCGGCTGAGTTTTTGGAACGTCTCCATCAGGGTCCTTCAGGACTTGCGCCCGCAAAAAAGGAAGAATCATTTTTTCAATGGTCTGCTTGGCAAGCTGCTTTGAGATCGCTTCATTGACGAACAGATTAGATACGGAGGGCCGCCTCCTGGAGCCCGAAGATTCGAATCTTGAGGTGCGTCTTCACGGGCAGCCTGGAGCTTTGCATGCAGTCGCCGGAGCTGGTGCTGCAGGTGGCCGGTGCTGCGCCAAGTTCTCGTCGGCGCGTCGTGCTTAATACATTTTTGTTTCTTCCTTGATGCAGGATACCAGTACATAATATATTGTTTCATAGTTTTAGTTCTGCTCGAGCCACATATACTGGAGTCAGTTGCATCCGAAGCAAGTGAGATCCAAGAGTCTCTGGTGCATGCTCGCCAGGCTGCCCTATAGCAATGCATGATAGTGCAGAGTGTGCAGTGCGTAGCTGGGCAGAAGTGCTCCCTCTTCCTTAAGAGACTGCTCATTGCTGGAATTTCAGTCCAAACGGCATACAGCAAGAAGTCTGGTCAGGGACTTGAGACATTGAACTATTGTGTTACAAGACCAGCGCTGAGGACTGGGCGGCAACTGACAAAATTAGAGAGGTTACGAAAGCCGGCTAGTTCTCTAAGTGAACCGTAGGCTAGCATTTTCATCACTGATTCCCTTCAAAGTGTTCGTGGCCAGAGTTGAAATGTAAGTGTAGGCGTAAGACCAACCGCAGATTCTCGGAGTTACAGTCCATTGAAGGAGTATTTATTCTTGAATAATCCCAGACATAGAAGAACTTCTTTCCCATGATTTTGCGCAGGGAGTCGGACTGCAGAAATCAATCCTTCGATGCCTCTATAGACGTTGGCCGGGGCTTTGAGCCGTTTCGGCCGAGAAGCAGAAAGCACAGGCAGGCAGGCAGCTTTCGCGTCGCCATGGGCTGCTCGGGTTCAAAGGCTTCCAAGGCTGCGCCCCGCGCTGAGACTCGGCCAGAGCCAGTGCCGCAAGAGCAGCCGACTGAGACTGCGACGGAGACCCAGCCGGAGACAGAGGTCCAGGAGGTCCAGCCAGAGCAACCAGCAGTTGACAAGGAGGAGATTGATGGGTTGATGGGTTTCCGCAGTTTCCAGTGAGACGCGAACACTTGTTGAACTGATGCAAGCGCGCACACATATGGTAGAATCCTTTGCCGTGGCTGCCACAATCAGCCTCGAGTCTTTTTCTTTCGATGTCTTTCTTTCAGAATGTGCATTCCAATCCATGGCCACAGGAGGAGCCCTGAATGAGAGCTGAAGTATGTGATTTTGTGCATGCGCACGAGCTTGCAGACGGGTAGCTCTCGTTCTTTTTTTCTTCTTCTTTTCTTTTTTGAGATGATTGCATCCATCTTGTCAAGGAGCCTGCAACAGAGGAGCCTCGAGCGACAGCGGGTGAGCCGGCGGAGCCATCGGCCGAGCCATCGGCGGAGCCAGCTGATGTGAAAGAAGCGGACTTCACCGAGACAACGGAAGCGGCGGACACGGTTCCTGCTGCTCTGCCTGCGATGAAAGAGGCCAGCGGCTGATTGCTTTGAATGTGAGAGGGAGCAGTTTAAAATAGTTTAAAGTCTAAAGTTTTAGGTGCCTTGCTTCGGTGACAGGTCAAGGCTGAGGACGAGGTGACGGATACCACGCTTCCGAAGGATGAGGAGTCGCCAAGGCACATGATCGAGGAGAGCAAGTTTGAGGGCCCCCGTGACACACCCTTGTGTGGCTGCTTCAACTGGTGACCATTTTAAGTCAGAGCGTCTCAAAAGAAGACGGTCCGGTTGAATTGGCAAGGTCTCAACAGCGGATTGCCGATAGCCACAGCGAGCTCTGTCCGAACAGCTGCTTCTTGCACCAATTCGATTCGCTGACCTGCTATGTACAGCCCATGCCTGCGTCGGCTACCGGTGCTGCAAGGAATGAGATACCTCAGGCAGCATGACCACAGAAATCTGAAGACCTGCAGTCTTACATGTGGGTGTGTCCTTTTTTTCTTTTTCTTTTTGGGATTTCAAGAATGGGCAGTTTTTCCTTATGGTTTCCCTTTAAGACCAACCCCGAACCTTCCAGAAAGAGATAGACCCATTGCAGAGTTGAGGCTTGCTGGGCCACGCGGAGGCCGTGGCCATGTCGGAATGCTCCATCGGGCTGAGGAGTCGCCATGAAATGTCCCATCCTTTGTCCCGTTTTGCGTTTTGAGGTTGGCCTTAAAGGGAAACCTGTCCTGAATTTGAATCTGTCCTGAATACAATAACAATATATATTTGAATTTAGGGGAAACTATAATTTGAACCTGTCCTGAAAGGACGCACCTTTGTCGCCTTGAGGAGCTGCCTGCGGTCGGTGTCCCTGGAGTTGAACGAGCTCTTTCCGCAGCAGGCACTTGTGCTGGGCGGCGTGGACGAGAATGCTGCCGCTTTGCCGAGAGAGCGAACCGGGGGGAGGTGGTGAATACAAAGAGTATGTTTGACAGGCCGCCGCCAGCTGTTGTGGTCTCCCAATGTTGTGACGCCAATGTTGTGACGGTGCTTGCCAGAGTGTGAAAGATTGAGACCAGGAAGCAGAGGGGCAGGGGGGTCGGCGGCTTTGCGAGTAGAGATTGCAGGCCAAATAAGCAGATAGTTGGGTATTGCGCTCGCTGTGGTGTTTCTGTTGAGTAGTTGCCACAGGCACAGTTGTGCTTCGGAAATCGTCCGGAATTCCGGCCCGGCTCTTGCGTTCACCTCATAAAGCAGAAACTCCAACTGCAGCTACAAGAAATGCTGGGAAAGCAGGTGCTGCTTGAGAGGGCCTTGTTACGTTTCCACTGCGAACTATCTGCTCGGGTCCGGAAAGATCGAAAGGGCCGTGGAAGAGACCAATGGAGCAATATCAAGGCCTCAAACTTTTGCAGCCGCCATGTGCGCGCGTGGGTCGGCCGTAGATGTTGCAAAGACGTGAAAGGACGTCAGCTGGAGAGTTTCAACAGAGGCCTCTGGGCGAAACCATGTTCACTTTTTTGTGTGTGGCAACAGCTTCACAAAGAAATGGCACTTGTCGAGTCTCAGTTGGCCTAGCCAATTCTGCCAAGTGGCTCGATCAAGTCAAATCGACTTTCCTGCTCACTACATAGGGGTTGTCTCCCCACCAGTGCCTGAACCCGTGTCAGGTTGGCACTTGCACCTATCAAATCGACTTTCCAACGCCAGCTTGAAGCCAAGTCGCGACCAAGGAAGCCATGGCCTCAGCCTGGAGCCCAGAGTGCTGTGGCCTTGCCTGTGGCCAGCTCTCGCGGATTTCTGCAGCGTTCATTACCCTGAGAGTGTGATGCCTCTTTTGTATGATACGCCACATTTCTTTCACAATCGCGCTTTGACGCTCGCCTGCCTTTGATAGTGCTCGATGCAAAACATTGTTGTGTTTAACAAGGCAGGCATACGCGCATGTTTTCGCTTGTCACCATGAGTTTGAAAGGCATGTGTGCTCATGCAGAGGTCGAAAGCTTTGACATCACGACGAACTCGTGGACCGCAGGGGAACGGGTATGGAAGTTGAAGCAAGACGATGGCTTGCCCCATGCTTTCAATATTAAACCGCTAGCTTTTTCCTGGCGTAAATTGTATCCAGAATATGTTACGTTTAATCTCGTCTGCTGCTGTATGATCCATCTAAGTTGTTCAGGGTGTTGGTGTCTTGCGTTTTGTATATGTGATCCGGGCAAGCGTGATTTTGGTTCTTGTGTGCTGTTGTGTACGTCCACAATATCATACAAAGCCTCACAACTTGGAGCTCGGAGTCATAGGATTTTACTTCAACTAGAATTGGACTTTTGCATATACTTTAGTTCGGATATAGTTTTCAAACATGTGTTTATGTTCAATTACAGCTTATAGAAGCAAATCCTTTCCAAATAGGAGCTACACGAAAATGTATGTATAGTATAGTTTAGGGTAAACTCCAACTTTTTCTTTAACAAAAGAAGTTAGATGGGAGTATATTCCGAAATATAACCTAAGTGTTCGATATAATCCAATACGAACACAATTCAATTAGCTTCTGATAATAACAATTATATAGAGACTACAGACTACTTTGCAACTAGAATTCATATTAAATAGTGCTAAACATCTAAGGGACTTTACAAGGAAATTCGAAATACGATTTGTGTTACTTATATTATGGCCCGTTTGTAGAATAAGAAAGGTCCGAAATTATATTTGCTATCTAATAACTTGAAAGCACTTTCACTGGATCGCTAAGAACTTGAAAGTATTTTACTACAGGATGGAAACAACAAAAACAATCAAGTTTGAAGATTACACAGAAAACTTTCCTGAGAAGTGTCAATCCTGGCCAAACCCAAACAACATTCAAGTTCTTCCAACACTTGAAGGTGCTTTACCACTGGATTGAGGATTTAGTATCGAGGATTGCACAAACAACAACTTTCCTGAGAATCATCCATCCTGGTCAAACCCTAAAAAAAATCAAGTTGTTCTAAAACTTTGAACGTATTTTACCACTGAATTGAAGATTCGAGATTGAAATACTTCACGGAAAGCTTTTCCGAGAATATTATTGGACACCGAGAGTATTGGGACAAACCTTTTTTTTTGTTTTTCAATTATGGGATTCAAGATTCAATATTCAAGATTCCCAGAATAAAGGCATTTTTTTTTTATATATATATATATATATGATATTCAAGATTCAAGATTCCCAGAAAACAAAACATATTATTTTGAAATCTTGAAGCTCGATTTTTCTTCTTCTTCTTTTAAACAAATGAGATTCACGATTCAAGATGACCAGTAAACGATTATTGTGAAATCTTGAATCTTGAATCTTGAATCTTGAATCCCATTTTTTTTAAAACACAAATCTATGGGATGCAAGATTCAATATTCCAGAATTCCAGACAATATTGCTTTGAAATATTGAGTCTTGAATTTTGTCACATTGAACGTTGGACCTTGGAAGCAACATCTTCCCACGGGTATGACACAACGAAAGTACCCGTCGATCAAACCTCTGGAGACGTAGGACAGAGCTGCCAAAGCTGCGTGCGCCGCGCTGGAGCTGCGCAGCCGCTGCAGCGGCAGGCGCTCGAAACAAGTCGAGAACCCAGAGGTCCAGGATTGAGGCGATTTGATTCAAAGGGGAGCTGTGTGACTTGTGGGGAAGTTGGCCTTCAACACCTTGCGGGTGCAACCTTGGTTCGCGCGCTTTTTTTTTGCATCAGAAGGCCTAGGCTTCGCGTATTGCAATACCCTGCGCTGACTTTTCGCTTTTCATTCTCATGCAGCTGGTGCAAGGAGCTCCTGAAAGCCTAGGAGAGGTTTGAACAGAACCCACGCTTTATGTTTTTCTGCACTCCACACATCAAATGAACAGTCAAAATTTCATTCTGGATCCACAACCTCAACCTTGGTTGTCTCTCTGCCTCATCGCAATTTAAGGTGAAAGTTCATGTTCAGCCAGGCCGTATCTTCGTGTTGGGCGGCCGTAACATAGACGGTGAGGTGCTGGGTACTGTGGAGGCTGGTGCATCGTTCTTGTTGAGTGCATGTGAGATGGATGAGAGATCGAGCAGTGCGTCAGACCTACAACATGCGGCGCGGTCGATGGGAGCATGTCAGGGCCTGCAGATAGCTTTGCGCATGGCCGTGTTGCCGTGATGCAGTTGGCAACGCATCCATGGACCTGGGAGGGCGCACTGATCACGGACATTTGGACCTTTTCACCAAACGCACCCGTTCGCCTCAATTGAAAAAGATATCAGGAGGCAGTGCCTGCAGCCTTTGCTTCTGCTGTCGCATCGGCTTCTCATGTCTAGTGCTCTAAGTGATACCGCGCCCAAAACCACGCCCAGGCGCCGCAACTCCACTTCCCACGCTGCGAGGCTGCGGCCACCATGTGCAGGCGGCCGCGTTTTCCCGCAACCGGGATGGCCAACCGAGTGACTTAGGAAAGCTAAAGGAAAGGAATGATCCCACAGATTCATGTTCTCGTAGGTGCAGCTATGAGTTTGTTGCTACAGCTTTGCGCCATGCGCTTCATCGTGCTTCACAATCAGGCACAATGCCGCACATTCGTTTGGGAACAAGTTTTTACTCTTCTCGGACCTTCATTGGCTGTGCGGTTGTGATTAAGGACCGTGACTTCTGACAACAGATAGCGTGCTTGTTTGCCATCCTTACATCAGCCTCCAGGGGAATGCTCTTCGCTGCTGGGGGAGTTGCAGAAGGCCCTGTCGCACGGGAGGCATCAGCCGCAGGTTGGATAAGGCGGTGCTTTGCATAGATACGAGGAAGCTGTGGCGCTTTAATATCAAGCGGTTCATGACGCGTGTGAAGAAGGTTGGCAGCAATGGCTCTTCATGCAAGCCTAAGAATGCAGCGGGGTGCTGGAAGATGTCAAAGAACATGGAAGCTTGCAGCGACCCGCACTGACCGCACAGATGAGATGCCCCTGGGTGAGACGGAGTTCTTGCGGTTGCGCAACTTTGAGATTGGAGAATGGCTCCGAGCGCGGCCTCTCAGGTGGATGGTTGCTTTCCGCTATTGTTAAAGCAGAGAGCGCAGGTTCTTGTATTCAAATCCCCATAGGAAGAATGCACTGGACAGGGCAACGTCAACTTCCTCCAGGAGAATTAAAGTGCGTTGAGAAAGCAAATGTGCACAAGCTCGTGGGAGGCCCTGCGTTTCTTGGCCTGAGAGCAGCCATGCGCAGGGAGAATACAACACGCCAGCCAGGGGATAAATACAGCACTCCAGCCAGAGGAAACCCCTGTGAAATACACCAGGTTTCACAGCCAGGAGAATACAATACTCCAGCCAGGAGATTGCCTGTGGAAGTTCTACTGGTATCCAAGGCCCCCCCCCGGCCAGCGTGGCGCGCGGCCGCGGCGGCTCGGGGCTCAGTCGGTGCGAGCCCGCAAAGATTCGGCTCGGGTGCGCTTGTGGACAGACATGCAGGTTTTGCAGCTCCTAGATTAGAAACTTCCGGCTCTGAAAGCCTTCGAGCAGGAGATCGGAGGAAGATACGTATTCCAACCTGGGCATATATTTTTTTGTGAGCGGCATGATGAAGCCGCCCGTAGTAGGTGATTAGGCAGGCGGTGGGTGATCTTCTATGCATCTCAAGTGAGAGTACTCCTATGTTAGAATAATGTCACAGAAGCCATGTGGCTGTGGGTCAAAGTCAAACCACCGGGATATAGGATATGGACGGCAGGTTCTAGTCCTTCGTAACCCATTTACCAAGGTTCAACTCATTTTGGGTCGTTACCTGATTTTTGACCACTGCCACGTATTCGAGCTGGTGTATCTAAGCCACGCAGGTGGCGCTTGGCGATGCCGCGTCCTCAGATCCTGGACCTAGACATGCCAGTGGGTTGATCAAGAGCTGTGGGATGACCATTGGCTGGAAAACCACCGGGCGGATTTGAGGTTCCCCTGGGAAAAGTGACCCATGGTCATTTGGGGGCCAGGTATATTGAGCAACCCCTGTGTATGGCAATTGTGCTGTCTAACATTGGACTGCAGTTGTGGGGTCTGCCCATCGTCCGATTGCTCAAAAACGGCTGGCAATGCTTGCTTGACCTATACATTGGAGATTGTGCCCATTTCCCGTTGCTTTGCCTGCATGCTCCTCTGGGTGACTGTATCTTCCTGTTTAATCAACGTGTAGACAGTGTCTTTGGTGCGGTTCAAGTCGCAGGAGTTCTTCCTGCTGGGCGGTTGGGATGACAGGGCTGGGCAGCCCTCCGATGAGGCTGGATAGCACGCTGGCTTCCGCGAAAGCCGTGCGTCAAGCTTTGGAGCCCTTGACTTCGAGCTGCTCAGGTCAGCTATCTTCGGGTCAATGCCGAGGATGTGGGTTTCTGGGCTCAGGCGCCAAAGATGCGAGAGCCTCGTGCAGGCAGGACATGCTTGCGTGCTCAGAACGAAGGTCCATACAGGCATCTCCGCAATGCATATGTAATGATGTATATACAATATTTGTCTATGCATTCTACATATATATATATATATACATATATATATATATATATATATATATAGGTTTTGTGCATATATATATATATATATATGCTACCCCCCCTGGTGCCTAGGTTTTTGCTTGATTGCCGCGCGCAGGCTGTAGAGTTTATATTTTTTGCAGTATATTTTAAGCACAGACGAATGGGCTTGCAGTCCATCATGGCAAGATCGGAAATGTCCAAATATGATACCCTTTCCAAATAAGACTTTATTTGAACTACAATTGTAATTTTTTAATATAATTTGGTTAGGATATAGTTTTGAAAATGTGTTTATTCTCAACATTGCTCAACTACAGCTTAAATAAGCAAATCCTTTCCAAATAGGAGCTACATGAGAATATAAGTATAGTTTCGGGCAAACTGCAACTAATCTTCAACAAAATATGTTAGGAGTTTATTCCCAAATATAGTCTAAGTGTTAGATATAATGAAATGCGAACACAACTCAATTAGCTTTTTACAATAACAATTAAATAGAGACTACTTCTCGAACTTAGTTCACATTAAATATGGCTAAACATTTAAGGGACTTCTACAAGGGAATTCGAAATACGATTTGTGTTGTTTATATCCTGGCCCTTTTGCAGCATAAGAAAGGTCCGAAATTAAACTTGTTAGACGGTGTTCCAAGAATAAATTTCAAGGGAAGAGAGGTTCAAATTCTAAAACTATTTCGAAGCAGGGATTCTAGCTGAATCAGTTGTATTTAAAGTTATATTTGCACAGGAAAACAACATTCATTCTATCTCAAAAGGCGGAGGTAGTAGATTAGCAAATGTGGAGAGGTAGTTCACGAGGGGGGGGGGGGGACGGTGTGCGAACATACACACATATATAGTACCCCTCATGATCCTGCGCCTCTTCCTAAAAAACTGTAAAATACTGTGTTTTTGAGCATTACACCTACCTTTGTGTACCTCCTGGAAAAGGGTCAACATGCTTCATAGCTAACATGAAGCAAACCTCTCACCAAAAGCACTTGAAAGTTTGTCTAACTAATAACTTGAAGGTGTTTCCACTGGATCGCTAAGCAGTTGAAAGTATTTTACCACTGGATGGGGAAACAAGTTTGACGATTACACAGAACACTTTCCTCAGAATTGTCAATCCTGGCCAAACCCAAGCAACATTCAAGTTCTTCCAACACTTGAAGGTGCTTTACCACTGGATTGAGGATTCAGTATCGAGGATTGCACAAACAACAACTTTCCTGAGAATCATCCATCCTGGTCAAACCCTAAAAATAATCAAGTTGTTCTAAAACTTTGAACGTATTTTACCACTGAATTGAAGATTCGAGACTGAAATACTTCACGGAAAGCTTTTCCGAGAATATTATTGGACACCGAGAGTATTGGGACAACCTTTTTTTTGTTTTTCAATTATGGGATTCAAGATTCAATATTCAAGATTCCCAGAATAAAGTCGTTTTTTTTTTTGTTTTTTTTTTTTTTTGTGAGATTCAAGATTCAAGATTCAAGATTCCCAGAAAACAAAACATATTATTTTGAAATCTTGAAGCTCGATTTTTTCTTCTTCTTATTTTAAACAAATGAGATTCACGATTCAAGATGACCAGTAAACGATTATTGTGAAATCTTGAATCTTGAATCCCATTTTTTTTAAAACACAAATCTATGGGATGCAAGATTCAATATTCCAGAATTCCAGACAATATTGCTTTGAAATATTGAGTCTTGAATTTTGTCACATTGAACGTCTCCCAGCAATCTTGGGTCCAGAATTCTTAATTGTAGAATTGTGGCACCCCCCCCTTCCTTGGTGCCCAAGTTTGGCCAACACTTACCTGAACAAATGACTGAAATCAAGCAAAACCTAGGCACCAGGAAAGGGGGGGCGTACCATATATATATATATACATATAGATCTTCAATATCTGTCTATTCAACGTAGCTGCAGCTTTTTCTCCCTCTCGCACAAAGCCAGCAGCATTGATTCAGTTAGAAAATGCAGAGGCGTTACAATGCTATTTGCTTTCCCATGCAGCTGATCATTCCGACCTTCCCAACAAGCTTAACTGGGAGAGTGGCTTTCCGAGAGTGGCTTTGTGCAGATCGCTGCACAGTATGTTTCAGTGCGTGTCGAGCAAGATACGTTAGGAACACCCCAAAGGGACAATTTTGGGTTGAAGTCTGTCTTGGGGTAGTCAAATGAAGAGCCCTGCACCAATCAGGCACCATCTAACAATCGCTTGGACTTGTGACTGGCTAAGCCAGTTTTGCTGTCAGGTCTGGGCGCCACTTCTTTGTTGGGCAGCATTTGGGCCGTTGGAGGCAGAGATGGTTTGTGAAGATGCAGCGTTCATCTGTGGTACGGCCCATGGCCATTATCGGCACCGGCGTGTAGACTCAGTCTGAATGGTTGCGATTCTGCTTTGTTTGATGTCGCAGTTGAGTGTTCTAAGCCCGTTTCTTCTTGCAACACTCTGCAAGACCTTTGATTTAAGCGACGTTCTTCGGAAGCACGTCTCCAGGACTGGCAGAATGGGTGAATTGGTTGAGACCTTTTGGCTAGCTTGATTGCCATCGCCCTTCCATGCATGACGAGCAGTTGTAGCATCATTCTTGTCGGACACAGGGGGCCCAGATGCGTGTTCGCAACGACCATTTTTTTTTTAAATCAGCTGCGACCCGACGCTTCATGTGCGGAGAGCAGCAAGTATTCACGGCGATGGCAAGCTTTGAAAACCATCTCTAGAACCGTACTGCAGACTTGCAGATGCACTTCGCCGCAATGCACATTGCAACACTTCAAGCTTCTAAGATGTCAGAACGCATCACCATATTGATGAACCGCTATGCTATATGCCACAAGGGAACAGAGCTGATTACATTGCAAGAACTCACTAGAGGTGGGCGTTTTGGCGCGTGTATTGCGCTGACACGCCCTGGTCAAAACCAGGGACTCATTTCGGTATCCCCTTTAAGAGGCGGCAGGCTGCACAAGGCACGCCCATGTGGCCCTGGGTCAGGCTGCAAGGGCCAAGAGGACATCGCCTCTGTGGAAAGGCGCTTGTGAATTTGGATCAGAGAGCATCACACAACTTGCAACGGGTTTGTTCTCGGGTTGCCAGCGTGAGGTTCACTCCGGGTTCCGACCATTGGGAGGTGGTGACGCATTTGGAGGCGCAATGGCTGCGAGCATGCGCCACTTTTCCTTGAATAGGCCGGTGGGCAAATGCTAGTCCACTTCCCCCCTCTCAGCATTGCGTTTTGAATCGCAGAAGCCGTTTGAATGTGCCTGCCCTGCATATGACATGCGGAGCCATTTGCTATGCCGGATTACAAGCAAGCATGGGTGTCACACAGAAAGTCTGGTCACATGTATAAGATGTGAACATTCCGTTTTTGAACGTGTATGTGGCCTGCTTGAGATGCACTTCTGGTGTTTTTTTGTTCGTGGCCGTTTTTTTGCATTGGCCGGCTGTATATGTTTAGAGTACCATTTTGATATTTGACACACAGCGAAGCAGCGTCTTGATGTAGGTCTGCAGCCCCCCCCCCCTTCCCCCCTTCCCCTGATCTCCCTCCCTGCCACACCCCCGCCCACTGCAAGAGGGAATCGGGCGGGGAGGGGGGGAGGTCGCTGGTTTGGAATGGTATAGGTTTGGCATAGATTTATGGGCTTGATGTAGTACTTGGCGTGGCTTGCTACGATCAATATGGGTTCTGAACTGGTTGTGTGCTTGCTTGCTTAGTTTTGATCGGTATCAGTTAAGTTGTGAGGCGGGTGTGGGCATGGGCGGCTGGGAAAGGGAATCGGGAGGTTTCAGCAGGGCGCTTGCACACTACGGCCCTGGATCAACTATGCCCCTGATGGATGGATGGAGGGCGCAAGTTCAGCAGATGTGCAGATGCATCCCAGGCCCCTCGGCGCGCCTGCTGCGCAGTGTCCTGTGGCAGCTCTCTGCTCGTGCTTGGAGGTGTGCAGGGCAAGGTGCACGGGCGAGTCGCGAGTTGCTGGGTTTCTAGACGCAAAATGCAGCCAGGAGGACTCAATCATTCCTATGTGCGGAGAGTAGGTGATGCTTGCTTTGTCTCAGCATGACTCTGGATTCGACTGCCTGTTCAGCTGCCCGCTTGCTCAAGACACCTGAAAAAGGTGTAAATGTGACTGCTTGCCATGGGAGAGCAGGAAAGATCAGATGAGACGCTTACGCTTCAAGGCGCAGCAAGCGTTGAGGGATGAGAGATGTCCTCGATTTGGCCGCCAAAATTAGTGCTCCCCGAGTGTTCTCTCGAATTTGGTCCCCTGCTCCCCGTCTCTTCCCTCGCTTTATGTAAAGTCATGCCGGTTCCCTTTGTGGCTCATGGGAGGCAAGAGGCAAGGGTCATGTTGCAGGAGTGCCAATTGGCCAGTTCCTTGTATGGCAACTTTTGGCAAGTTCTGGCGCGGATCAGCAGGGATTCAGCTGGTCCAGTCGCAAGAAAGAAGCAGGCGACAAAGGTTCGACAAGCATGTAAATGCAAGCGCTACCAAGTAGCAACATGACAAGCCTTGGTTTGAAGTAAACAAGGCTAGCTGATGCCTCCGGCATTGGATGAACTTGGGATTACCAGCACTTGCTTGCACATCAAATATGTGCAGAGTTAGCCACTATGGGCCATTCTTAGCGCAACTTGTGTTTTTCAAGGTTTCCCTGTGGAGGGCCATTTTTAGGAATTGTTTTGTTTTGTTTTAGTGTTTTTTGTTTTTTTTTCAGGGTGGCTTTTCGGCTTTTTGTCGTGGCTTTTCATTTCGCATCCTCTGCATTCACAGTTCCTCTCTGTTTGGCTTTTGCGGCTTTTTACTGGGTTTATGCGGCGGCTTTGGCTTTTCGCATCCTCTGCATTGCATTGCCTCTTTTGGCCTCGGCATCACCAGTTCCTCTCTGGTGCCCCCCGCCACCCCCTTTCGATTAAAATGCACCCCTAATTGAATCATCACTTTTTTGATCATCATGCAGGGGGCTGCCCCCCGTGTCCTGTGTGCGGTTCCCCCCCCCCCCCCAACTCACCCCCCGCTATACATTAGATTTTCTATTTTAATCATCACGTTTTTCGAACATCATGTGGCAGCCCCACCCGAACCCCCCCCCTCTACTTTTTTTGTTTTTTTGCCCCTAATTGAATCATCACTTTTTCGATCATCATGGGGGGCGGCAGCCCCCCCATTCAATGGGGGCAAAAAGTCCAAAAAGTAGAATGATGTTCGAAAAACGTGATGATTCAATTAGAAAAGATGTTCCAAGAACTACACACGGGGGGCAGCCCCCTGCATGACGATCGAAAGAATGATGATTCAATTAGGAGATATTAGGAGCAAAACATCCAAAAAGTAGCGAAGGCTTGGGGGGGGGTGCACATTAATATCTCCCAAAGGTCTGGGGTTGGGGGCATCACTTTTTCGATCATCATGGGGGGCTGCCCCCCCCCCCCAACCCCCCGCTGCTTTTTAGACCATTTGCAGAGATTAAAATGCACCCACTTGAATCATCACGTTTTTCATCTTCATGGGGGCCCGGCTGCCCCCCCCCCCCCCAACCCCCCGCTACTTTTTGGACTTTTGCCATAGACAAAAATGCACCCCGAATTGAATCATCACTGGTCCGAATATCATGGGGGGGCTGCCGCCCCCCCCCCCCCAACCCCCCCCCTACTCTTCAGGTGTTCTACAGGGATTAAAAACATGCACCCATATCTGAATTCTCACTTTTACCATCAAGAGTGGGACCCCCCGCTGCTTTTTAACATGCATACATAAAAACTGATGATGCTGTAGGATTTGCTGGTGATCTGGGGATGTTGGCTGAACATGCGGGGGATGTTGAAAACGATGCGGGTGATGTTGACGGGCTAGAGTAAAAGACGTACATTGCGTGAGAACATGCTGTTAAAATACAGCATTTTTACTAGCCAAGACGGAAAACACAAAAAAAGCCCAAAAAGTCCCAAAATAAGTCTCGACCCTTTCCCTGTTCTCTAAAGTGGGTGAACTGCTTGCTGTGCTGTTTGGTGAGCGTGGCTTGCATGTTCATGAGCGCAAGGCCGGCACCGGTTAGAGTGCCAGTTTTGCACCATTCCAACTGGCGCAGCCAACAAACAAAGGCATGAATTTGCACCGCCACAGTTGTCAACTCAATAGGGTTGGCAATTGGAGAACTTCGGAATCCGCTTGCTGACCTGGAAATGCTGAATTTGCTGAAGCTTGCTGCCTGCGGCACCTTCTTCCCTGCGACATTGTCCTTGGACCGTGGCAGATGCGGCTGGTTCTTTTTTGTTCGTGGGGACGGAAATGACATTTTTTCACTGTGGATCTCTTGCGGCGCTTTGAGGAGTCTTGCTGGACATAGAGCGGCTGATCGTCAAGCTCGTGGCTCAACGTGCAGACTCGGCAGAGCAGCCCCTCTCCGGCTCCGGGCAGGCTTGTAACAAAGTAAGGGCCGTATTCAAAAGCAATGGGCTGTCTTTGCAGAGCACTCGACTTGCATATAACATGGTCTGTGCACGTGTATATACATTGTATATATATATATATATAATATAACAACTCTGGGAGGAGCTGTGATGGGCAGCTGTTGGTAGCGGTATTCGTCGTTCAGTTGCTTGAAGTTGGTTTGCAAGTCTATACAGATCAGCGAAGCACCCACACTCACCCACGCATCCCGCACGCGCCTGCCGCACATACCCTGCCGTGGAAAGCTCCGGCTCAACACTGTTCACACCCGCACACACGCACACACACACACACACACACACTCACACATACATATGCGCGCGGTTTGCCGCATGCGCACAAGCACGTACAACCACAAGTGCGGGACAGAAAAAAACAAGCAAAACACACAATAACACAGATACAACATGTACACACATACACAGGCACGCGCACGCACACACCCACACCAACATGCACGTGCACAGGTTTATATACATGCACGGACACAGGAACACGCACATGCACACACGCACGCAAACACACATGAACACGGACACGCACACGCACGAGCACATGCATGCTCAGACGCAGACATAGACGTTCACACATACACACACACCCACCCACCCACCCACCCACCTAACCATGACACACAGACTCACATTCAGACCTCCCCACACACACACACACGCATACCCCCCCACAAACAAACACTCATTGACCCACCAAGTCAACACACCCAGGAACCTATGTGCACGCATACAGCTGCTTGCCTGATACATACAGAATTATACACACATACATGCAGACTCACAGACACACAGACACAGACACAGACAGAGAGAGAGAGAGAGAGAGAGAGACAGACGCACGGGGACACAGACACATGCAGATAAACAGAGAGACACGCGCACAGACACACAGAGACACGACACGAAGACACAAACAGCCACACAGAGACACAGAGACAGACATAGAGACACACATGGAGACACACTGAGACGTAAAGAGAGACAGAAAGACGCCAAGAGACAGAAACACACGGAGAATCACGGACGCGCAATGCACACATACATACATACATGCATACATGCATGCATGCATGCATACACACATACATACATACCTACCTACCTACCTACATACATACATACATACATACATACATAGACACATGAATACATACATACATACATACATACATACATACATACATACATACATACATACATACATACATACATACATACATACATACATACATACATACATACATACATACATACATACATACATTGCATTGCATTGCATTGCATTGCATTGCATTGCATTGCATTGCATTGCATTGCATTGCATTGCATTGCATTGCATTGCATGCATGTGTGTATGTGTGTTTATGCATATGTGTGTCTGCATCGGTGTCTCCGTACGTGTGTATGTTTGCGTGTGTGAATGTGTCTGTGTGTATGCGTGTATGTGCGTATATGTATTTATATATATATATATGCATGTGTGTGTGTCTCATGTATTTTTGTGTATGTGTATGTGGGTAATTCTGTTTGACTGTGTGTGATTACATTACATTACATTACATTACATTACATACATTACATACATACATACACACACATACATACACACACATACATACATACATACATACATACATACATACATTGCATTGCATTGCATTGCATTGCATTGCAATTGCATTGCATTGCATTGCATTGCATTGCATTGCATTGCATTGCATTATTACATTACATATTACATTACACATAACATACATACATACATACATACATACACACACATACATACATACATACATACATACATACATACATACATATTGCATTGCATTGCATTGCATTGCATTGCATTGCATTGCATTGCATTACATTACATTACATTACATACATTACATACATACATACATGCATACATACATACATACATGCATGCATGCATGCATGCATACATACATACACAGAGGCACACACATACATATATACATACATACATGCATAGATAGATAGATATGTACATACATACATACATACATACATACATACACATTCACACACACATACAGACATGCACACATACACAAATACGCAAATACAGACATACGCACATGCACACATACACACGTACACCTGTGAACACATACACACACATAAGCACATACACACTTACACACATACAGACACACACACACACAAATACATTCACATACATAGGCACACACACACACACGCAGACACACCTACATATACACATACACGCACACATACACGCACACGCACACAAGACATATACGTATACACGCATACACACATATACATATATGTATAGACACATACATGCACACATACAGACACACATGTACACACATCAGATGCATGCATACACGCACACATACACGCACACGCGCACAAGACATATACCTTTACACACATACACACATATACATACATGTATAGACACATACATGCACACATACAGACACACATGTACACACATCAGATACATGCATACACACATGCACGATAGGACATACATACCCTACCCCACTGCACACTACGCTAGCGTAGCCTAGCCTAGCACCCTACCCTACCTTGCTTGCCTACCTACGTGGACATGTACGTAAGTATTTTTGCACACGTTCAAACAAACCTACTTGCATACATGCACGCATACACTCATGCTTTCCACAACTTGCGGAAAGCATCTTTCCGCACATGAGCTCAGGGGTTGGGTTTTGTTTGACGTGAAAGGCAGCGCAGCAGCAGGGCTTGTTGCGCTCCATGGTCTCTTTTCGAGGTAACGCCACCCTGATGAGCCTGGAAACTATTCGACGGCCCAACCAGTTGCCCGGTTGCCAGGTGCCCGTGCGCCGTGCGACGGATTTCAAAGCCAAGGAGAGTCGAAAGTGCCAAGCCAAAAGGTCAAAGGGAGATGATCCGGGGCCTGTTCTTTTGATGCAATTCCACCGAGCTCAGTCCAACTTTGACCCTGCCGCTTTGGAACATTTGGTCTTTTGCCAGCAAAACCCAAACGTCAGTGTTTGCCGCAGGAGCATCAGCTCTCCCAGAGCTGCCTGAGCTCTGCGCCATGGCGGAATGGTCGACGTTTTTTTTTTTTTTGGGCTTTTTTTTTTCCGCAAAGCAACTTTGAGCCAACCTCCTTGGGCGTTGTTTTGGGCATGACTTGGCACCCCAAAGTGAAAGGGTCCCGAATTGAAATTCACTCCCACTTGGTTTGTTTAGTGGCTCTGTCCAATGCAAGGACGGATTCGAAGATGAGGCGGAGGCCTATACCTGGACCTTTTGCTTGCGCTGGCCATGTGTAGCCTCGAAACCAACTTTCAGCATTTAGCATCCCTTGCTGAAGCTTGAAGGCCAGTCTTTGGCTGCAAGCCAGGTGTACTCCTCCGACAAAAGCTTTCTGCCTTTGGTGCCGCAGGCGTACGGATCCGGAAGGGTTCAGCCGTTGCGTCGTTCGGATTCAATCGCATGTCTCGTGACCGGGCTGTTTCAATACGCTGGGGAAAATCCGAGTAACGAGGACCCGGGAGCCAGGCCACTGAGACGCGGTGAAACCGCAGCCCACGCTTTGTGTTAGCCTGGTAGGAAACCACGAGGCTTTAGAGTTGGGCTAGTGGGAGCAGAGTCCGAGCGAGATTGGCAGCAAGCAAGGTGGTTGATGCTTTGCAAGCTGCAGGCACGTTTCTCGCACGTTTCACCCTCGCAAGGGATCAGGTGTGCCACGTTGCTCCAGACTTTTGAGTCAAATGTGACTAGAGGACTACAATGCTTAAACAACACGGAGATTCCAACAGCCAGAAAGCATGCAGAAACAACACGAGACAACTCCAAAAGCAAGCAAAGACACAAACGTAAGGGTCAAACTCAAATCATCAAAAGCTTGAAGCAACACGTTTGTTTTCGAGTTGCCGTTTTTTCTTCTTTTCCGGGTTTCCACATTTTTTTTTCACCCAAGCTGCGACGCTTCCAAGTCCTGTTCTATAGGACCTTCGGGTGTTCGGAATTTTCACTTTCTTTCAGATAGCTAAAAGCTATAGGGGTTCTAACTTCAAGTAAAGCAGGGATGGGTGAGACTCAGAATTCCAGGTGCTGGGTGCTGACTCGGACTGTTGCAGTGTGCTGATGGGGTAGCTGCTGCAGGCCGAGACTTGGAGTTGCGCAGGGTGTTTCTGCAGGGGGCTGCTGCAGGTTGAGACTCAGAGCTGCGGGCGTCGCTGGCCGAGACGCAGCATGGTGCTGCTGCTGTGCCGGGTGTATTGGAATGTTTTTTTGCAATTTGGGGGCCTATGCTGGTATAATTTTGAGAAAAGCAGGAGTGCAGCAAGGATGATATATAAAAGTCCCACGCCCCAACGCGGTTGAAATTGGGCAGTACAGCGATGGTGGTGGTGGTGCTGTTGCTGGTTGTGCTGGCATTGTAGAGGCACCATCATCTTCCTCTGAATGCAAAGCTCTTGCTCTGGAGACAATCAGGCACGTCAGAAGAGCGAGGAAGATGACAACTAGTCATTTGACGTTTTGTTGCGTGTTATCTGGCTGTGCCTGTTTTGCAGGATGTTCCCAGGTATTTTGTCCTTTTGTATTGTTGGGTATTTGGATTTGTGAGTTTTCAAGTCTTCCATTATTTTTTTCCAGCTCTTCGAGTTGTGGCGGGCGTGTGGGATTTTGTGCACGATAACGCCACAAATGAAGTTCAGAATAGGGCGTTCGGTTCCAGCCTCTGGTCGCCGAGACCACTGCCGCCTGGGAGCCTGGCGCCGCGCGGGTGTTTTCGCGCCTGTCGAAGGCTGTTGCTTTGCGGGAGGGTGGCAATGCTGTGGGAGCTCTCTGTGTCGGTGCGGTCCACCATGGCCGTGCTGCCTTGCACGCCGCGCCGCTGTTTCGGGCCCGCGAGGGTCTGCCGCGGCCATCCTGGCCCGGCCCGCCGTTGACTCCTGAGCTGCCTGAGCTGGGATGAGCTGGGATGACGAGCCCTTCGTCTTGGACCTTCTTCAGTGAGCGGGGTGAGAGGCCCAGGCACGCCTTCCAGGCCTGTTTGCCCACCTGCCTTTGTACAGGAAGGTCTGGTTTTGGGGTGCTCGCTGCTTGCGCCAAGAGCAGGCAACCGGGCGCTTGATGTCTCAGCTATCTCCAGCGTGCACTGGTTCTGCCCTCCTCTTTTGTTTCCGGTGACATTGCTTGCGCCAGCTTTGTCTACGCCATCTGCAACCCTTTGCTGGCCAAGGTTTTTTTCCCTTCCAAGAAGGGTTTTTCCTCGGCTGTCATTTACAGGCTGATTTGGAGGATGCCCCTGTAAAGCAGGTGGCTTTGGGATTTGGAGACCATTGTTTGAAACAACTGTTTGTCCATGGTAGTTTGGCCTTTGGCTCAACCTTAAATCAATCACTCAACTGAACAACACCCACCCCACCCTGAACCACCCCCGTCAACAGTCAAAGCCTCCACCCCCAACAAGAAGCAAAACAAGAGAGCAACCGCAACAGGCACCCGTCCAAATCATGATTTCAGCTCATTCAACCACTCCGCAAGGTAGTCTCGCCGCCCCATCCCTGTCTGCCGGAGCCTCCGCAGAGTGTCTCTTGGTGAAATATCGATCGTTTTTTGTTCAGCGTGGATCGGATTGCAGGCTTCAATGTTGGGGGATGCTGTATGTTGACCCACAGATGAAACGCAAGGAGACCAGATTCAGCCGGCAAGTTTCTTTCCAGCCCGCCATGCACTACCTGGACATTGATCGAGACGGGTCGGCCGACGGTTTCGACATGCACATGGGCTGGCGCAACATAGGCCGGCTTGCTACCTCAGTTCGATTCCATCATGCCTTTTTCCCATTGTTTGATACATGCATCACCTGTGCGATCATCGCTGCCGGCAGGCGACAGGAGCTCGTGTAGGAGAGCTGTTGTGTTGTGCGGGCCAGTTCAATGTTCAGCTTAGCAATTTCTGCATGTCACAGGTTCATTCTGATTCTGACAGGAGCAATCGGCGAAATGCTTCTATGAACCTAGTTCTGCCAAGCCCGACAGCTCTGCGAGCAGCGACGAAGAAAGAGAAGCATTACGTGAAGCTTTGGCGGCAAGCAGGCAACCACTAACTAGGCAACCAATCGTGCAGCACCAACTAAAATTGCTACGCCGTTCTCTTGTATCCCGCCTGGTGCACGTCATGATTTCTTCCCTTCGAGGCCAGCGTGCGAACAAGGCGCCAAGACATATCAAAGTTGATCTCTCTGACATGTCCCCCGAGCTGGCAATCACCACCTTTCTTGCACAGGTAGGCCCCTTGCAAGGAGAGGTTGTGGTATGGTATTCCAGGGAGGGACAACCCTGGGTGTCTAGTGACGGCGAGAGTGGAGCTGCAACGTTTTCATACAGGAATGGAAGGCCTTGAGACGGGGAGAGCAAGTATATTTTCATCGCTTTGCCTTTCTGCCGTTAGCAGGGTGCTAAATTTACGACAAGGCTTCAACAAGCATCACAATAAAATTGGATGTCGGCTGCGGAAGATTGGACAAGGCAAAATTGAAATTGAGATGACGATGGGCCAACTGAGCGCATTTGCGCGTCAATTTCTGCAAACGCATACTTGCACGTTTCTTGTGGCGTTGGTTCAAGTGCCTCATTTGGTTAGAGGAACTTTCGGCAATCCCATTGCAGCATCGCAAGAACATGGGTGAGCCCTTGGCTTGTCTCGCGAATTTCCGGTTGAGAGCTCACTCGCGCACCCGCGAAAAGAACCCATGAAAAGCCGGGCACATAAATCCTACACCCAGACACCCGACGGGTTCCCCACGGCTGTGATTATTTGTTTGCCTCCACTCACCCACCTTTCCACCTCCTTGCAACACGCGCAGGCGTCAAGGCTGCCAGGTTACGTCCGTGCTGCAATCCAGCAAAACACCATTGCCACGCTGTTCGACACTTCCAGGGCCCTGCTGCTAGAGATCCCTTAAAGTGAAAGTCAAACTGTCCTAAGCACATCTTTTGGGGGTGGTTTCCCTTTAAACCACCATTTAGAGGGTATATTGGAGGATGTCACTTGAACGGATCTCGTGCTACAGCCAGCTTCCGCGAGAATTTGCGAGCCAGAGCCGTAAACTGACAATCCCCAACCCCAAGCCTTTGCACCCGAAGTCTGCCTTCAGGAAACCAAAGTCCCCAAGCGCAACAAACCAAAAGCTCACCTTGATCGGGCTACCATTTGCTGAATCTGAACGAATCAACTCTCACTCTGACACCCGCAATGAGATTCAGAGAGAAAAATGCCAGGGTGCTAAACACACGCGCCGAAACGTGGTTCCCACGCGCAATGGCCGGAAATGTGTGCAGGTCACTTGTTTTTCAATAGACAAGCATGTAGGGCGCTGTGATATGTAGGTCTGCAGGAAGGGATGGGACCAAGGCCTCTATGGCAGCGCGTATTGCAGTGCCGGTCGCATATGCTTCCAATCGGTTTACAACAGGGCTTTAAAAAATGCCACCTGGAGTGATGGTGAGGAAGTACATGATGAAGTGGCGCCCGGCCTTTGCATGCCTTGCTTCTTCGTTGATTCTGCACGAGCCTTGGCGCTTGGAGTTGTGTTTACGACCACAAGCATACTTTGAATCTGCGGCTTTCCTTCAAAACATGTGGTGTGTTTGTTTTTAGGGGACCCCAGTATTGTGGTTTTCCGTCTGGTTTCCCTTTGACACCTACAAAACAAGGGTAGCCTCAAACAAAGACCGAGCGCCTCGAGGACTGTGTCATGGTGCCCCTCCTCGCGCTTGATCCTCGTGGCGCTGGGGATCTCCTCTTCAAGCTCCTGTTTTGGACGCTCGGCCATGTCTTTTTGAGTCCATGGGCTGTGTCACTTTGCAGATGGAAGGAAGACATGGGCCCAAGGCCTTGGGCCAACGGATTGCTCGCACCGTAAGCTTGAGGACGTGGGTTTCCTCAGTGGATTTTGTTGATTTGGATGTTGATGCCAACGAGTCTATGTGGCATTGGCCAAGGGCTGTGACCCTGCCTATTCCTTTCTGGCATGGTGCTACGAGCATCGCAGTGCTGGATGCGGTGCTGGTGGGGTTGAGCCTTGGTACAAATACCACCCGACTGCTTTGAGGCCGCTCACCGGTCCTGGCATGGCAAGCATTCATTCATTGTGCCTGAGGTTGTTCTTTGAGCTTCTGAGTGGTATCACGCTTCTGAGAGGCTGGGCCTGTCCCTCAGTTCGGGCAAAGCTTCTTGGTGCGAAGGCGTCCAGCTGCTTCGCGTCCTGCGCTTGGCCCAGCTCTTCAAATTCACAGGCTTCAGGAGGCGCGCGGGAACGCACTGTGCCTTTGAGCACTGCTTTGCGACCGCAGCTCCGAATCCTTGGGACACCTGTCAGCCATGGTTGCCAAGCAGTCCCCCTAAGCCGTGCGACAAGCCCATGGTGCCGTAGACCCGAACTCCACAGAGTGACATGCCTGACGCGCCTGTGTGATTTGCCAGGATGGCGAGTCGGTGGATGCACCAGAGCAGCAGGGAGGTACGGGCGCTGGTGAATATTCTCGCCACGTTATGCTTGTGCCTTGGAAGAGGTTTCGTGCAACTGTACTTAGACGGGATATCTCCTTCCTGGTAGGCAATTTGGGATATACTGTCCCGAGGACGGCCTTTTTCTTGCACGTGCTGACGTGCTTGTGGTTTTCCTGCGGCAGTCTCCCGAATGGCTGGGTCGATGAGGAGGTCCGGCAGCTGCCAAAGCAGGAGACTGCCATGCACATGGCATTTTGAATTCTGAGTGATGGGATTCAAGGTAGGAAACCAGTGTTTGAAGCGCAAGGCCATATCGGCGCCGAACTGAAACTCAAAGGGCTTGCCCTGTACGACATTTGGTATGAGGATCAGTACCAGCGTTCGCTGGAGCTGGCTTTGTCTCGCCTTCATCCATCACGGCTCGCAGAGAACATGATGATGAACACCCAGCTGGATGCCGGGCCTCAAGGAACAGCCATCATGCATTTCTTTAGTCGTCTTAGATGTGCATAAAAGTCACATAAGTTCACAGTACAATGGCATTGGATGAGTTTGAAGGCACAGAGGAACCCAACGGCGAGGCATGATCTCAGGTTCGTGTAGCTGGGGGTAAACAGCTTGCCGGAAAGTTTTTTTTTAAGCGTTCAATACAGATTGCCCTGAGCCGAAAGCCGCATCTACGGTCTCAAGTGATACAAAGGGCCCTCGCCACACTGTCATCCGACACGTAGATTCGTAGATGCAGAATAGCATATTCTTCAAGTTTTTCAACATCAAGGTTCACAGTGTTTTACTCAACATTGATTCAAACAGGGCAAGTCCTTGCTTCTTTGTGTGTTTTATGCTTTGCTAAGGAGCGGATGCTGTCTTTGTTGGCCACAGGATCCGCGATTCTTTGCGGCGCCGTTTTCACTTCCATCGTCACCAATGACCTTTCAGATATCCGGCGGACCCACCGGGAGCAGAGGGAAGCGCAGAACAAGGCAGTGGTAACCACTTGGTCAACGAGCGTCTCAGCCTTTTTCCGCTTTTGAGGTTCTTGGGTGCCGTCGACTGGTGAATGCGTTGGTACAAAGGGAACATTTGGGTTGAAGCCGACGGGGTTTTGCTTAGTTTTGCATGTTTGGGCTTTCATGTTTCGCGGCTTGCACGAAGTTCCAAGTGCTTCCGCTGAGGCGACAGGTAAGGAGAGGGGTTACGGTGGCCACATGATTTTTGCACTGTTTGTTCCGATTTGTTCCATCACCGCTGTTTCAGCCAGACTCTCAACATCATTTTTCCCTCGCAGAACACCTGTTGACTTTGAGAGCCAAGATGAGCTTCAATTACTGCTTGGCTGCAACATTGGCAGCCTTGAGGCATTTCAGATGTGCCTTGCGGTCTCTCGCTAGGGTAGCCTGTCATCACAGACAGTCGACTTGTGTGGAGGTGTCTGACTTTCTCACCATCTATCCGGTGAGTTGGGAGCTGGAGCTACAGATGAAGGAGTATTTGTATCGGAACATGTGCAAGGTAGAGCTGCCCTGCAAGCAGGACCGCATTCCTAGCCCTGTCCAGAACTGAAGAAACTGAACACCCGAAAACTTTCAAGCTGGGGCTACCACATGAATATGTGTATAGTAAACACATATATATATATATAGATACACATAACTATTTCTTTATGGTGCGGCAGCGTCCTCATGCCGAGTTGGCTGGGTGGGTGTGGATACGCTGTCCACTGTGCCGCCACGTCGAGGTAGCGTCATTTCGCGGTGAGGCGGGGGTGGGGGGTAGGGGCACCCCGTGGTGGGGTAATAGACCATGCTGTCCACTGTGCGCCACGCCGAGGCAAGGTCATTACGCAGGGTTGGGGAGAGGGGCGGGTGTGCGGTGTGTGTGTGTGTGTGTGTGTGTGTGTGTGTGTGTGAGACAGCCTGAGACTGAAAGTCTTGTGAGAAGCAGGGGGCTCGAGGACCTTCCGTGCAGCTCGGGCCAACGAAGCTGTGCGCGGTTGGTCAGGATATGGAACCCGCACGCGGGCCCCACGTACCTGCAAGCAAACTTCTTGTACTCCTCACGGGGAGCTTCTCACAGTATGTGTTTCACGACTGCGTGGTCCTCGGACCTATCGCTCTGCTTCGGCCTGACTCAAAAAGCCTGATCCACCCAGGGTTCCACGAGGCGCTTGATCCATGTGACATGGTTGCTCAATCTTGAGGTGATCGACTTAAGCCTTGATCCTTTTTGACTTGATCCGTTCTGACTTGATCCACTATGCCTTGACTCAATCTTTGGGTGCCAGTTCAGCCACTGAGCGTCCACGCGACGGACCTATCGCCCTGCTTTGACGTGATTTAAACAGCCTTGACACACGGAAGGTTCCACAAGGCGCTTGATCCATCTGACATGATTGCTCAGTCTTGAGCTGTGCGCGACAAGGTTTGATCCTTTATGACTTGATCCATTCTTTTGATCCATCATGCCTTGATTCAATCTTTGGGTGCCGATTCAGCCACTGCGCACCCACTCAACAATTTTATTTACACGCTGACGCGACACAGCCGGCCACCGGGCACCCCTTCCCGTTCTTTCATTTCCTTTCCCTCTAAGTCCTGTTAGTTCTCGGGATGATTTGAACTTTACTTCCTTTGCATGTCTTCCCTGACAGTTTCCTGGCATGTCCCTTCGCTTCCTTCCACTTCACTGCCGTTTCAGCTCCCTTCATTTGCTTGAAGACTCCTTTATTCGCATTCCTTTCCCTTTTCGTGCCCGCTGTCCGGTTCTTCACGTTCTGCCCTTGCATTTTCCTGCATCTCGGTTTCTCGCCAGTGCCCTCTTGATTTGCGTGCAATTCCTTTGACTTTCATTTCGTTCACTTCCAGTCACTCCTGTTTCCTTGCATTTCCCCTTCAGCCCCTTGTTTCGCATCGTCAGCATGCATAGCATCATCCGCATCATCCGGAATGATGCTGGCAATGCTGGGGGTGTAGTCCGGTATTAGGCACCCCCTAAAAATACTCGTTTTTGGACTCTTTTTTGGACGCTGCGGGAAGATGCTACAAAAGTCCTCGGAAATCGCCTAAGCCAATCCGCGAATTCTTCGCCCCTTATAAGGGTGGGCCCAGCGCAAAACGTATGCGCATGGTCGGAGCATGGTCGGCGCATGTTCTGCGCATGGTCGGCGGCATGGGGCGCACGGCCTTATACCTGAAGGTAAGCCCTACCGGGCTTTGGCCTGCGGCCCGATCACGTCCGGTGGCCGGATTTACACGCTGACGCGACACAGCCGGCCACCGGGCACCCCTTCCCGTTCTTTCATCTCCTTTCCCTCTAAGTTTCCTTTCATGTCCCTTCACTTCCTTCCACTTCACTGCCGCTTCAGCTCCCTTCATTTCCTTGAAGACTCCTTCATTCGCATTCCTTTCCCTTTTCGTCCTTGCATTTTCCTGCAGCTTGGTTTCTCTCCAGCGCCCTCTTCATTTTCGTGCAATGCCTTTGACTTGCATTTCGTTCACTTCCAGTCACTCCTGTTTCCTTTCAGCCCCTTGTTTCGCATCGCCAGCATGCATAGCATCATCCGCATCATCCGGGATGATGCTGGCATTGCTGGGGGTGTTGTCCAGTATTAGGCACCCCCCAAAAATACTCGTTTTTGGACTCGTTTTTGGATGCTGCGGGGAGATGCTACAAAAATCGCCTAAACCAATCCGCAAATCCTTCGCCCCTTATAAGGGAGGGCCCAGCCCAAAACGTACCCGCATGGTCGGCGGCATGGGGCGCGCAGCCTTATACCTGAAGGTAAGCCCTAACGGGCTTTGGCCTGCGGCCCGATCACGTCCGGTGGCCGGATTTACACGCTGACGCGACACAGCCGGCCACCGGGCACCTTGCCCTGCCCGTTCTGTCACTTCCCTTTCCGGTAAGTCCGATGAGTAGATGTTAAGATTAAGCAATTCTAAACACTTTGAGATTCTAAGGGTCTCAGATTTGAAGACTTTTGGAATTTAAGGCTTCAATGGTTTAAGAATTAAGGTTTTAAGATTCAAAGACTTAAGGTGTTTGAAGGTTATAACAGCCAGGCCATTGCCCAGCCATTTTCCATCCATTATCAGATTTCGAAGGCTTTAAGATTTTATTTTTGGCGAGATTTTCAGATTTGGCGACTTTCGGAATTTAAGATTTTAAGATCTTAAGAGGTTGTAATTTTAAGATCTTAAGGTTTCAAGATTTAAAAAATTCAAGATTAAGAGTTTAAGGAAGTTAAAATATAGCCCGGATTGAAGGAAGGTAATATTTTAATAACTTAAGATTTTCAGATTTCAATTGTTCGAGGCTTAAAGAATTTAAGTTGTTAAAGCTTTTTAAGATTCTGAGATTTTAAGATTGTAAGACTTTAGGAATTTCATATTTTAAGAGTTTAAGATCTCAAGATTCTAAGACATAAGGTTTTTAAGGTTTCAAGATTCGAAGACTTTAGGAGTTTTTTTTTTTATTTTCAGATTTTAAGATTCTAAGTTCTAAGATTTTAAGATCTTGAGATTCTAAGATTGATTGTTAGATTTTAATTTAAGATTTTAAGAATCTAAGACTTTAGGATTTTGAGATTTCAATCCAGGCCATGTTCCATCCATCTTCCATCCACTTTAGATTTTAAGATTTTCAGGTTGCACGTTTTCGGCAAAATTGGCCCGATTTAGGGGACAACATCCCCAGCATCACCCGCATCGCCAGCATGCATAACATCATCCGCATCATCCAGGATGATGCTGGCAATGCTGGGGGTGTTGTCCAGTATTAGGCACCCCCTAAAAATGCTCGTTTTTGGACTCGGTTTTGGGCGCTGCGGGGAGATGCTACAAAAATCCTCGGAAATCGCCTAAACCAATCCGCAAATCCTTCGCCCCTTATAAGGGAGGGCCCAGCATAAAACGTATGCGCATGTTCTGCGCATGTTCTGCGCATGTTCTGCGCATGTTCTGCGCATGTTCTGCGCATGTTCTGCGCATGTTCTGCGCATGGTCGGCGGCATGGGGCGCGCGGCCTTATACCTGAAGGTAAGCCCTAACGGGCTTTGGCCTGCGGCCCGATCACGTCCGGTGGCCGGATTTAAGGGCTGCCGTTCTGTGCCGCCGACCCCTTTGTGGGTAGCTGTCGGCGCACGAATCGGCTGGCTTGTTGGGCCTAGGAAATAGCTGCCCTTTTGACTTTTACTTGCATGTTTTGACCTGGTCTTGATTGTGACTCAGCCGGGCGTATGATGATGAGAAGGATGATGATGATGATGACGATGATGCAGCCCAAAACAAAGTCTCCCACACCTCAAATTAAAACATATTAATTTGAGGTGCTCTCCCTGACAAAAAGCTCGCCAGGAAAAAGAGACAAGGATGCCACTCCCACACCTCAAATTAACCAAATGTTAATTTGAGGTGCTTTCCCTGACAAAAAGCTCGCTAGAAAAGAGACACAAGTGATGATGATGACGATGATGCAGCCCAAAACAAAGTCTCCCACACCGCAAATTACAACATATTAATTTGAGGTGCTCTCCCTGACAAAAAGCTCACCATGAAAAAGAGACAAGGATGCCACCCCCACACCTCAAATTAACAAATATTAATTTGAGGTGCTTTCCCTGACGAAAAGCTCGCTAGAAAAGAGACACAAGTGATGATGATGATGACGATGATGCAGCCCAAAACAAAGTCTCCCACACCTCAAACTTAATTTTTTTTTATTAATTTGAGGTGCTCTCCCTGACAAAAAGCTCGCCAGGAAAAAGAGACAAGGATGCCACTCCCACACCTCAAATTAAAAAAAATTAATATTTTGAGGTGCTTTCCCTGACAAAAAGCTCGCCACAAGTGATGATGATGATGACGATGATGCAGCCCAAAGCAAAGTCTCCCACACCTCAAATTAACAAAAAATATTGATTTGAGGTGCTCTCCCTGCCAAAAAAGCTCACAATGAAAAAGAGGCAAGGATGCCACCCCCACACCTCAAATTAACAAATATTTTTTTTGAGGTGCTTTCCCTGACAAAAAGCTCGCTAGAGACAAGTTCGGCTGGCTGCCTTGTCACCCCAAAGGCCCCGTAGCTCAGTCGGTTACCACGCCTCTCTCAGCAGCGCCCTGGCCCGGGGCTCGATTCCTGGCGACCACATGTGTCACAGACACGATGACATCTGTTACAGAAACGATAGCGCCTTTGCATCACCAATCCGCGTCATGACAACTATCATCACAACATCCTCTGCATCTCTACTGGTTCCTGGGTAACTATCATCATCGCATCCTTTGCGTTGCCAAGGATGTCTAACGTCCCTTTTGATTTCTATATATAATAAGATATTAGATGATGCTAGGTGATGATCAGATGATGATAAAGATGATGACAAGGATGATAACTATCATCGTAGCAGCCTTAGCATCACTAACGGCTGTGATGATAACTATCATAGCAGCATCCTCTGCATCACCAATGCTGCGCGATAAGAGATGACGACGGCCATGATGATAATGGCACGGGCGTGATGATCGTTATCATCC